GTACCTAATGTCCAGCATCTGGAGTGCATGAAATTGTGATCTGCATTCCAACAGGCTTAGGCAGCCCCACTACTCTGGCCTTGCTGTTTGCAACCCACAGAGCCTCTCTATTTGGTCACTGCCTGGTGTTATGGAGCCTGGGATTACTAGGCAAAGACCACCAGACTCAATTCAGATAAGGATAAATGATTTTATTCAAGCTAGCTTGGACTGCAGTCTAAGTATCAGGTTAGAGTGCTGCAGTGGGGAGGCAGAGGGAAAGGTGACCTTTTAAAGCTAAAAACCGCAAAAGGAATGCTGACGAGGTGGTCCCCAAATAACAGGGGGGTCATGGTCCACATGTCAAGGTGCCCTAAAATGGCAAAACAAGCAAGTTACAGAAGCCAAAATCAGCAGTTAGTCATATCATAACAATTTTGTTTTCTATATGTCTAGAGAGCAAGTGGCCGTGGCAGCATTCTCCTGGGAGGTAAGGGGGAAAGGGGTCAGGCTTTCTTAAAAACAATCCTTGAGCTAGAAATATACTATGGCTAAGCTTCAAGATGGCTACTTTATCCAAAATGGAGTCAGTTTGATCAGTACCCCTGGGGTTTTTCTTGACAGATGTTCCAGGGCCTGGGCATCTCCCAACAACCTGAGCTCTTCAATGCAGCTTTGACTTCAACCTGATAGCTTCACACATCGTTTGGTCATGAGCTGCCTGCAAGGGCTCTGACTCTGCCATATAGTGCCTGGCTGGCCAGGCCTTCTGAAATCTGGGTGGCAGCCTCCATGACCCCCAAACTCCTCCAATGCTGTGATACTCTGCCCAAGAACATGGGCAAAGCACCTATGGACTAAACCTTCTTAATTTGCCAGCTACAGTAAATCATTCTGACCTTAAGTTTTTTCTGTAGGTATTTTGGCCACAGTGAACCAAAAGTAACTAATACATAACCCAAAATTTGAACAATGACTCATTAACTAATTTACCTAAGAAAATATATTCTGAATAACAAATAACATGTGCAAATAAACTTTGGGAATGAATCCCGTTATCATTTGACAAGTTCTTCCCACTGGAATGGAATCGTAGAAAATTGTTCTTCTGATGGAGTAAAATTAATATAATCCATTATGATTTATTATTTGCATAAATGGTAATTAATACATTACTGATTAAAATAATTTCTAAATCTCTGTGAGATTAGTATGGAGAATTCTCTCAATGAATCTATTTGTGAAATGCCTGCTAAACCACTCCACTCAGAAATCTAAAGGCAGCTGCCTGGCTACAGACTCCACTGCTCACCCACATCTGCTCCCCTTCTGTCCTACCTACACAGGTTGATGGCCACTCTATCCCCCATGATCTACACACTTAGTGTCATTCTCACACATTCTGTTGATACCTCCAAGGTTAACCACTCCCCCCACCCCCTATAGTCACCACCATCTGCCTTTGCCTACCTCCCACCCTTCAGGGTTCTCAGAGGTAAATCTTAGCACAGGTGCTAGAGGACCAGTCTCAGCTTAATCCTCCTTGCACAATTCCTATCTTGGTATTATTGTAGGAAGAGAGAGGGGAGGTAAGTGGAGATATTTGGATCCCATTCAGTCTCTTGTTTCCTTCACTATGAATATGTTAATGTATATTTAACAAAGTTTTTCTAATCAAGGGGAAGTCCATTGGAACATATACGCAGGGTCAAAGACTGTCATGGCTGTCTTTTTCTTTTATACTCTTTATTTGTTGATGCTAAAATACAGGTAGGGGAATACTGTGATCCCTCGAAGATCACAAATTCTATGAGGGCAGGCATTCCATACCTTGCTTAACAGTTGTGTTCCAGGAGCACAAGACTAGTGTTTTACACAGAGTTATGCTTAGTAATAATTCAAAAATGAGTGAATAATGGAGAATGAGGAGGAGGCTACAGATCCCCACAAAAGTTCTGGGTTCTTCCAGTGATTTTAGAGGGCAGTTATTGAGTGTAATTCCACATAAAATATAAAGCTTTTGTCTTAGTTCACTTTTTGGTGGTTACAATAAAATATCTGAGGACCATGTAAAGAATATAAACTGATTTGACTCATGTTTCTGGAGACTGGGATATCCAAGAACATAATGCTGGCATCTGGTGGATGCTTGTTTTGCATTATAATGTAGCTGAGGGTGTCAGGTGGAGAGACTGGGCAGGTGTACTAGGTTGGTTCTTTATCACCTTATAAAATCACTAATGCCATGATGGGCACCCTACACTCTTGACTTCATTTTGTCCTAATCACCTCCCCATCTGAGCCCCCAATTTCATCAATATCTGAATTTTGGAAGAACATTTCCAATACATAAACTTTTAAGGTACATATTCAAATCATGTGTCGATGAGCTTTCGATTACTATGACAAAGTACTTCAGATAATCCACATTAAAAGAGGTTTGGTTTGTTTTGACTCAGTTTGGGGAGTTTCAGTCCCTGGTCAGGTAGCCCCTCTCCTTTTGGGCCTGTGGTAGCACATTATGATGATAGCATGGTATAGCAGGAGCACATGGTGGTGGTGGTGGTGGTGGGGTCTATTCACTTCATAGCCTGGAATGAAACAAGAGAATGGGATTCAACTAACTTCTCTGCTGGTCCCCCAGATTTCAAGGTTCTTCCTTCTTCTGATATCACCAAGTCTTCAGCACAAAGGCCTTGGAGACACCCCAGATCCAAACCATAGCACTAAGGCAGTTTTTCACCAGTGACAGTCCTCCCAGGATTACTCATTACAGAGTTGGGGTGAGTTAGAAGTATTTTGTAGCACATTTGTTTCCCTACCTCTTGCTTTGTGGCTTGTTTGATAGATAAAATGTGACAGAGGCAATGATCAGTTGGTCCCAGAGCCTAGGCCTTACAAAACCTGTAGTTTACACTTCTACCCGTTTTTTAATTTTATGTGTATGAGTGTATTGCCTGCATGTGTGTAAGTGCACCCTTAGTACCTGAGGAGGTCAGAAGAGGGAGTTAGATTTCCCTGGAACTGGAGTTAAGATGGTTGTTAGCCACAATGTGGGTGCTAGGAATCAAACCCCAGTCTTCTGCAAGAGCAGCCAGTGCTCTTAACTGCTAAGCAATCTCTCCAGCCCTGTGGAAATACTGTATTTATATAGGGATCTATAGGTGTCATGGTGACAAAAAGCCTGATGCAAACAACTTAAGGGAGAAAGGATTTATTTGAGCTCACAGTTTCAGGACAGGTGTTGGCTCTGCTGATTCTGGACCTTGGTGAGGCAGAATATTACACTGATAGGAGCATGCAGAGTAGGAGATTGTTAACTTCATAGTGGCCAGGAAGCAGAGCCACAGCAGGTCAAGATATAGTCCCCAGTGACCCACCTCCTCCAGCTAGGCTGTAACTCCTAAAATCTCCAAAAACCTCCTGAAATAGTGTCACCATCCATGGACTAAGCTGCAGTACATGAGGCGTTTGGGAAGATACCTCATATTTAAACCATTCACAAGGTGAGGTAACCAAATGAAGGAGGAGTCTCATGTGTAGGTGGTATTTTTACTCATCAGACCAGAAGGAAACAGGAAAGGCAGAGAAGAAGGCCCAGGCCAGTTCAGCAGAGAAATGGAGGGTCTTTGCAAATAGGTGTCAGTGGATTGATAGATGGAGTAAGGCCCCCCTCATTATTATTTTTTGTTAAACAGGAAGTGAGAGTTGGCAGGCAGGCAGAGAGATTGTGTTGGAGTTTGAGGAGAAAGGTGTGAAGAGCTTACCAAGTGAGTGGGTGAATAATTTGACTGTGGAAATGTGGCATAATTACTCAGTGGAGCTGAAGGTTGGCTTAATGTTTACATTCAATCAAATAAGTAATGTTAGCATGCTGGTTTGTTTTCATTCAGCCACATTCATTTGCTCAAGAGCAGATCCAGAGGAGGTGGGGAATTGTTTTTGTTTTCCAGGGTAGGAGGAAAGAGGGAGAAGCTTGAGAGTATGTGTGAAAAAGTGGCTATATCATAGAACATGGAATTTATGCTGGGAAAAGAGGGAATTGTAGAGGCAGAGGTAGGAAAAAGATGAATCTGTTGAAGACCAAGAAGTAGTGACACTAGGAGTTAGGAGATAGAATGACATGGTGTAGTAAGTGCATTGCTAAAATTGACAGGATGGAGGGCATACGGTTACCAGCTACTGAGGTCAACGATACCATCCTGGGAATGGGTGGCTATACTAATCAGCTTTCTGGAGGAAGTGTTTTTGTTTTTTGTTTTTTTTCCCTTAACAGTTTCAGAGGCTTCATTCAGTCCATGGTTACTTTGTCCCTTGCTTTTGGGCCTGTGTCAAGACAGTACAACATTGTCAGAGCACATGGAGAACAAAGCTGCTCACCTCAGGGTGGCATTGTAGGAATGACCTACATGATTACCCAAACTACTACTGACTACCAGCAGAGCCACTGTATCTCAGCCTCTACCAGATCATTGTAAATGATTCTAACCCATCACAGTTTGAAATCTTCGAGGTATTATTTGACAGCAACCAAGGTTTACAATCCATTTCCACTACTGACTGACCTATAGTTAGTATTCAAACGCTAAATATAATGGGGTGGTGATACCTGTAATCCCAGGACCAGGAAGTGGAGGCAGGGGGATGGCAAGTTAGGAAACGTTCTCAAAAAGCGAAAAAGAATCACAAAGGATGAATGGTGAGCAAATACTATTCTAGATGTACTACAGAGAAAATTAAAATGTAACTAACTGCAAGGCCAACTGGGCAAAGGGAATCCACGACATTTTCACAGCATAAACAAGCACGGCTCCGCGAATGGGAGTTATTATTTTCCAGGACCAGTCAAGAACAGTACTTGACACGTATGAATATTTGTCTCTGAATACACATCGGGCGCGGGAATGAATTCTCTGTAGACCTGCGTAGGCAGCTAGGTTTGAAACGCTGCGCTTGCGCGAGACCTACCCGTGAGCCTTCAGTCCACCTCCGCGCTAGCTTCGCTACAGGAAGTTTGAGCTCTTTGCTTCTCCGTAGGCGTCCGGTTTTGTAGCTTCCCGGAGTCCTCCGCGGTGTTCCCACGCCCGACTCTCCCGGGATTTGCCGGGCTTGAAGCTGCTTTCGCGTCAGTGAGCGACTGAGGCGATGGCGGCGCAGAAGATAAACGAGGGGCTGGAGCACCTGGCCAAGGCAGAGAAGTAGTGCGTGCGAATCGCGGTGGGGCCCTGCGTGCCTGGTCCGCGCGGGCCGGGAGCGGGCGGAGGGCCGTGTGCTGCTGGCCGGGCCGGTCACACCCTGTGGGTCGCTCCCCTGCGGCGCCCTGAGCCTCTAGCTAGGCCACGTCTGCCGGGCGCGGGTCCGCAGCGTAGTCCGCGGGCATCCGGTTCTTCGCTTGTCTAGGGTCCGCACTTGTCTCTGCTTATGACAGCCGGAAGTGACCCTGAGGATGAAATCATCCTATTGAAAGCCACCGCTAGGAAAGGGGTCCGGTGTGCGTGGGAGTATAGACCGGTCCTGGAAATTCTGGATCCTGCAGACATCACATTCCCAGGGGAAGATCTAGGCTTTCTCCTCTGTGTGCTCCGCCACTCTCGGGGTCAGGGCGCAGTAGGCACCCAGCTGTGCTGGGAACCGTGAACTTTCCTTCATCATTTTGACATCGTCACTCCTCCCTCGGTCACTTTTATTACTACTACATCTGTATTGATTGAAGGATTACCGTCCATGAGAAATACACTTTGTACGCTGTTAGGTGCTTCAGAATCTAAGATCTTCACAACTTTCTTAATAGACATCCTCATTTTACAAAAGAGAAACCGACATGAGCAGCCTCTTGGTGACTTGTCCAGGGCTGCTCAACCCAAAGTGCAGAGCCCAGGTTCACACAATGGACCTGCAAGCCCTTTCTGTTCTGCCACATTGCTTCCAAGTGGTGGATAGGCAGACTTGGTGTGGAGGGTAATCCCAAGAATTTCCCTTGCTGGTGGGAGTAGACATAAAAGTAGTAAGAATTGGGCTTGTGCTCCCAGCGGATTAAAATTGTGTCCTCAATACCTTGTTAACTCAGCAGGAAAGCACTTGAGGAAATGTAGCAAGGTTTCTTAGCGTTGGTTAATGAGCAAGGCTTGGGAAAGAAGGAATTTTGTAGACAGTGGAGAAGGCCTGTGAGAGTAGTCACAGGATGTACAGCTGTCCACAGGCTGAGAGCCTAGAACACTTCATGTAGTCCAGTGGCAGTTCAGAGGATAAAGTGCATAGAGAATGGCTGGGGCCAGGTTGTGAAGGCTCATTCCCTCAGGTGATCATGAATCTTAGGCTTTCAGGAATAATCATTGGATTGACCTGGCTAGGTTTGTTTTGGCAAACAGTAGCAGATGAGTGGATGTGGGAGTAAGAATAAAGATGCTCAGAAGGGTTTGGTGAGTATGGTAGGGATGCTCAGCAAGAGAACTTACTGTTGGAGTGGGAAAGGTGGCTTCCATTAAGGTGCAGGCAGGGCAGAAAGCTCTTGAGTTTCAGGGAGAAGAGATGACAGCCTGAGTTAAAGTAACAGAGGGCAGGATGGCATCCTTTCATAACACCCTGATGGCGGGGGAATTGAAGTGAGAGCTTGACTCCTAAGCTTCTCAGTTGGGAGGTGAATGGAGGATGAGAGAGATCTAGAGCCAAGAGGTGAATGGAGGGAGGGAGGGAGAGAGAAGGAGAGAGCTAGCGAGCTGTAACCAAGAGATGGAGGTATTGCCAAGAAATGAATGGATAAATGAATGGAGGGGGAGAGAGAGAGAGAGAGAGAGGCTTATAGCTAAGAGATAAATGGAGGGAAAAGAGGCCTATAGCCAAGAGATGAATGGAGGGAGGGAGAGGTCTGTAGCCAAGAGATGAATGGAAGGAGAGAGAAGGCAATGGAAGGAGAGAGAAGCCTATAGCCAAGAGATGAATGGAGGGAGAGGGAGGCCTGTAGCCAAGAGATGAGTGGAAGGAGAGAGAACCCTTTAGCCAACACATGAATGGAGGGAGAGAGGCCTTTGGCCAAGAGATGAATGGAGGGGAGAGAGGCCTGTAGCCAAGAGATGAGTGGAAGGAGAGAGAACCCTTTAGCCAACACATGAATGGAGGGAGAGAGGCCTTTGGCCAAGAGATGAATGGAGGGGAGAGAGGCCTATAGCCAAGAGATGAATGGAGGGAGAGAGGCCTATAGCCAGGATGGGGCCATGGATGATTGAATGTACTTGTGGTAGGGTCAGGAAGGTGTTGGATTCAGGCTTGAAGGGTTGAAGTGCCTTTAGGCAGAAGAGTCAGTAGGTGACCAGTAAATGGAGAGCAGATTGGATTCTTTATTTTCTAATGATGAATGATAATAGTTCATTGTTATTCATTAAATTGTGGTCTTGTGGTTTTCTTCTGTTCTAGGAAAGCAGTCAGTTTTCTTAATGATTCTTTGGATAAAAACAGTCAAAGGCCAAAACAGGTTAGCCATCAAATCTAAATTAACAGGGTATTCATTCTTTCTAACTAATGGTGCTCAGCTGATTGGGGCTGATCTGCAGTAGTTTTAAATCTCTGCATAATAGTAAGATATTGGTTATATCTTGTTTTTGGTGACATAATATATAGTATGTAAGTGTTTTGGAGTAGGGGAGAAGGGCTAGAGTTTGACTTTGTATATTTCCCCAGTTTTGTGGGTTAGACAATACATGCAATTGAAGGATTTTATTTTTCTGACCAATAACATTCTTCATAAATTTGAAAAAATCTTACAAATCTGAATCTTGTTACAGTTAAGTGTTAAATCTGCTAAATGAATTTTTCAGGAAAAGGTTACTTCAGCGTTGGACTGTCTGGGTAGTTGATGCTTGTGTCACAGAATGAAGGGTCTGCTGAGGGCTCCCATTGGCTGAGTTGCTCCTATATTCATCTGAAGCAAGCAGTTATATGTAAGCAGGCTTTCACTGAGTTGAACTTGGTGGTGTTCAGCGGTTCTTAAACACACCAAAGTTTGACACCACTGAATTAGTTTGAACTGTACATTTGAAATTAACTAAAAATAAAAAAACACATACTACAAAAAGGACAAGTAAGATAAAGACAACACCCCTGTCCCTGGATCTGGCTTCTAAAGCCAGTGTCAGTCCTGGAAGACCACTTCTCTTTGTTGTCACAATACCTCTCTGTCTCTTTCTCTGCCTTGTTCATGGTGCTGATTGTTAGCCTGTAGCTGACCCCCTCTGCTGTTCCTCTGAGTTGCTTCATGTTTGCTGTCTGTGTCCTTGGCTCGGTAATCCTCTGAATGGCTCCTTGGAGGTGCTCTTCCAGGCAGCCTCTCAGCTGCAAAGATTGGTGTGCTTCCAGGGCCTTGAGCTTGCTAAACCATACATTTGGTGCCCACCTACCCCTGGACTTTTCCAGTTCTGTAGCTTCGGGATGGGGTTAGCTATATGCATTTCTAGAAAGTTTATAGGTAGTGCTGTTTAGACATTTCAAAAGGAGGAAAGCTACACAAGTAACTTGACTGGGTGGACGGTACAGGGAGTACTGAGATTGTGTTCATTGTAAGTCTAGGTAGAGATGGGAAGGTTTGGGACTTGTACCTGATGGCATCTTTTTGATAAGTTCTTTTTAAATAATTTGCCAAATCACTTCAAGCAGGGTTCTAACTTACAAATGTAGTTGGTAAGTTCTGTTACATGTCTTTCTTTCATTCTAGCCTGAAAACTGGTTTTTTAAAATGGAAGCCAGACTATGACAGCGCCGCTTCTGAATATGGGAAAGCAGGTATTTGTGACTGGAGTCTTGTTCTTGATGCATGATGTTAATGTAATCTGATAACTTTGTCTTAGAATAAGAATTTTATTGTTTCCTATAAGACTTTAGTAGTTAAACAAAAACAAAGGCAGAACAGGGCACATGCCCTTTGTTTTCTTTTCAGATGTGTTGAGTGCTGGGTCAGATCCTGGTTCCTGTCATACTTAACAGCAGGCACTGGGTAGTGCTGGTGGTTCACAGCTGCATGTTGTTAGCATTGCTTATGTGGTCGGTAGCGTCAGCCAGTCAATACAGTGCTGTGGCCATAAGTGTTTTTCTGTACTTCCTATTATGTAATAATGAGTTTTGTGTAAGTTGATTTTTAAAACTCTTCTCATTGGAAGCTAATCTGGAAATCGTGTTTTGACATGCGGCAGGGTTTTTTTTTTTTTTTTTTTTTTTAAAGGACAGAGATCTGAATATTTACAGTCTATTAAGTCAGAGCAAAATAACATTATTCATCTTTGTTGTACCAACTCTTAGGGTCAAGACTCAGCCCCTACTAGCACCTATTGGGCTGGGTAGATGGTTGGTCCACACTTATAACTAATTTTTCTTATCTAATTTGTCAGCAACAAACTGAATAAAAGGAAGTACATGCTAAGAATGTTAATGAAGCCAGTATGGTGATGTTTGTCTTTAATCCCAGCACTGGGGAGGCAGAGGAAGGCAGATGTCTGTGAGATCGAGGACAGCCTGGTCTGCATAGCGAGTTCCAGGACAGCTGGGGCTACAGGAGACCCTGTCTCAAAAAGACAAAAAAAAACAAAACAAAACAAAAGAAACAACACATATGAACTCAAAGCAGTGGTGACATCATGCACAAGTCCCATGCAAGCTCAAACCAGACAAAATCCCAGCATAAATAAAGAACTTTTGGCAGTTGGGCTGCTGGGAGGGGGCGGGGAGACAGTGTCTTACAGGGATGGGATTCTTGGTAGGTTAACCGGCTGCAGTAGATGGACCCACACTGAAGGACATTTAGAGACACAAATTATACCCTATAGACTGAATTATATATATAATAAAGCACATTAAATTGGGCAGGGTATGAAAAGTAAGGGTAGGTGTGGATCGGGGAGGGGATCTAAATAACCTCAAATTATATCGTATGAAAATTGCAAAAATTCAATAGATTAAAAACTATTGTTTTATTATGGAAGGATATGATAGCTCTAAGCCTATCTGCTATCATTTTGTGTATATGAAATAAAACACTATTTGGGGGCAGGTGAGATGGTTCGGCATCAGGTAAAGGCAATTGCTGCCAAGCCTGATTCCCTCAAGCTGACTTTTGCTCTTCCTCCTTTTGCCCTCCCCATCAATCCTCCCTGCAGTAAATATAATAAAAACATTTTTTTCGCCCTCCTCAATTTTGAATTTCCTGGAGCATATTTCCAATTGTGTCTCCGTTATGACCATATTGGTGAGCCTGGCTTAGAGATTGCCTAGAGCAAGCACTTTTTGGCAGATTCTTGGTTTCAGTTTATCCCCAAAAGAAAGAAACCAGGTACATTGATACTGCCAGCGTGACATGCAGAGGGTTTATTTTCCAAATAAAAGGACAGCAAATGATTCTTCAGCACTATATTTAAATATTGCATAAACTTTGTTTCTTATATTATACAGATTGTTCATATTTTATACTGAAGGATAAATTTATTAAAAATTGAACTTTATATGGATTTTGGACACTTCCTATAGCCTCTTTTGTAAATGGAGGTATACCTTTCAAGTTCCCTGTGAAGGAATTTCACAGCTTTGTTTTATATGCCTCCAAGACTAGCTGCTTCCAGAAATAAATATTTGGAGTCAAGTTCCCCATTAAACTACCATTTTATTTAAGAGTTTATACAAAGTACATTCATGCATTAGAATTTAAAAAGATGGGACAAGCAAGAATCAGGTTAGTTTCCACTGTTTTGTTTGTTTTCAACAAGAGCTTTTTGAGTGTGTTTTTCGGAAATAATGAGAAATAGCAGTTTTTGCAGAAGGGAGGCAGAGGCAGGAGGATCTGCTCAAGTTTGAGGTCAGCTTAAGCTACATAGTTGAGTTCCAGGCCAGCCAAGGCTCATGTGAGACCCAAAATAACAAAACAGACAAACAAATGATAGCACTTTTCTTAACTCAGTATACTTTCTACTTCTTGTAATCGAACTTTGGTAAGTTTTCCAATATTTGTAATACCTTATGTATACCCTTTTATTTACATTCTTTGAACATTGTAGATAAGCAAACAATCTAAAAGTTTTGTGTTTCAAAAAAGACGCAGTTAACTGTCCGAAGGGAAGATTTGTTACAGAACTAGCATGTTTATTGGACTTTAATTTGTCCATAATGTAGTGAGTTGCAGGGAAAGCCCAGTTTCCTTTGTCGAAGGTGAGGCTGGTGGAGGCAGGTGCTCTCTTCCCAGCTAGAGCACCTGCCTGCTCCTCAGGAGCAGTTGGGAGTACCGATGTGAGAAGCAGCTCTGTTTCCAAGAGGGCTGATATGCTGTGTAGACTCAACAATTAAAACTTTAAAATATTTCTGAAAATATAACCAGAAGATTATTAGGAAATTGTTTTAGGAAGAAGTAATATTTTACAGTTTTCTGAAACTTGCTGTTTGAAATCAGTATATTCTGTAATATTTCACATAAATGCAGATGGGTAATGATTCATTTGAGGGCTGTTATGGTGGAAATAAAGTCTTCTTTTTTTTTTTTTTTTTTTTTTTTTTTTTCTGTTTCAGCTGTTGCTTTTAAAAATGCCAAACAGTTTGAGCAAGCAAAAGATGCCTGCCTGCGGGAAGCTGTTGCCCATGAAAATAATAGGGCGTATCTTTTTTAGCCTTTGAAAAGGAATTAAACAATTAGATGATTTGCCAAAACCTTTTTCTTTTATAAACATAAAGTGAAGCGCTTCAGAATTAGGAAGGAATGAACAAGCTGTGCATTCTAACTCTGAGGGCGTGTTCATAGATGTGGTCGTAGGAGCATGTTTCTTTCTCTTGCTCAGGTTTTGTCAATGGGTTTTACTTGAACCAAAGGGAGGGAAGTCTGCAGACACATGCTGAAGAAGAGTGTGAGAGTCGCTATTAAAAACGCCAAAATTCTAAAACAGTCTTCCCTAGATATTTGAAACAAGATTTATAAGTTTTCTAGACTAAATGTTCCTGGTGTGTTTTAAAGCTTGTCACTTAAAAACGTCCATTTAATCTTCCTGGCAAACTGCAGTCTTCACAGTCTTGCCCTTCATCCTATCAGTGTATGGCATATAGCCTGGCAGTCACTGCAGTGCTTGTCAGGCTTTCAGTTGTCAGAGCCATCAGCAGGCACTGCTTACTGCTGCTTGCCTTGTTTGTACGATTTGCCTTTTGAAACAGCGTGGAGCAGTGATTTAGTTAACTGTCTTTGGAAAGCAGATCTCTAGAAACTATCGATTTCTTCTTTTTTTCCTTAATTTTGACATCGTTATATCCATTCAGCCTTTTTCATGCTGCCAAGTAAGTAATGTTTTTGTACTTTTCATGTATTTGCAGATGGTCTAAAAGTTAGTGTTACAGGATGGTAGTTTTTTCCCAAGCTATACATATGTAAATAGTGAATTCTTTTTTTATTAATCTAGTTAAGATAGTTGTTTTCATTTACTTCAGTTGTCAGCCAAACTTTAGAAGCCAGGTCTCTCCTAATTATGAGACAGATGTTTATATCAAATTTAGCATAATATTTTGCCCATGAAAAAAGTAATCTGCATTAGAATTCATGTTTTCTTCTTTTTTGATGGTTATGGGTGCCCATGACAGAGATGTGGGCTTTCTCATCCTTTTGTGGAGCATTTTAAAACTTAGATTTAGTCTTGTTATTTACCCTTTCTGAGACTTACTTAGTTTTGCAAACTAAAATCTCTCAAGTGTTTGATGTTGCTAAGGCATCAGTGCCCACCAAAAAAAAAGGAATAATGAAAAATGACAGTGTGCTCATACAGGCCTGCAGTGACATTTGTTTGAGCCCGTTTTCTTAGGGTCAGCTGCCTGGCCAGTAGGACTTTACCAGAAAGTTCCTCCTTCCTCTTATTTTATCATGGTCTCATCAGAAATTGTATTCTTTTTGCAGAGCTTATGAACAAGCTGGCATGATGTTGAAGGTCAGTAATTGTTCTGCCAAAACCATTGTATATAAGATGAATTAACAAGATGTTAAGGGAGAATTTATGTTAAAGTTGAAGTTTCCCTCCTTCAAAGCAACAGGGATTAGCATTGTGGGAACAGAGGACAAGGCTATGCTAAGTTCCTAGTTCCTGTCCAGGGTAACACTAATTGGACTCACAGTGTACATCCTCAGTGTTAGAAAATACTTATAAAAATGAAAAAACATTTCAGTTGCCACCTGGCATACTTACAAGCTGGCATCATAAAGCTATAAATTGTATCTCATCACAACAGGATATGTTTTTTAGTTGCTTATGGGTTATAGAAAGGGAAATGTTTTAAATATTTTTTATTTTATAAATATCCGTGGGAATGAAGAGAGCCATAGACTGGCTGTTGATGCTTTGCCAGATTCCTTTTGAAGGGAATATTTTACTGCTATGCCACATTTTATTGTCTTAGAACTAGGTTAGGAATTAATATCCTGATGTTTTGAGATAGAATTTATGGAGAAATAGTGGTATTGTGGTTGACCTCTCTCATTCAGTTTTACTTGATTTGATGCAAAAGTAGGGAGCTGTAGTTAATTGTCTATGTGCATATGTATGTACACATGTTCATGGGAGGTGCATGTGTGCCCACACATGTGCTTTAATGTATAGACCAAAGGTCAATGTTGGGGGTCCTCACATTCCATCCACTTTGTTTTTTTGAGACAGAATCTCTTGCCTGGCACTCACTGATTGGGGTGGACTGGCTGATCAGTAGTATCAGGCATCCACCTGTCTCCCACCTCCCCAGTGCTGAGATTACAAGCACACATCACTGTGCCTGGCTTTTAGTTGTTAATTTTTAAACCTGGATCTCAAATGACCTTCTAATGTAGTTATTACTGTATATTTCCTGTATTCCCCCTCCCCACTTTCATGTTATAGATGCTCAGTGTCTGTGTATTGAGTGGGTAAGTAAGCTACAGGCAGAAATAGTCCATAAAACCAGAATAACCTTCAAGCAGTAGATTTTGTTAGGATTATCGTCTCTGTTTTCTCAGACACCTTCCAGTATACTATATTCAAACACTTGGAGTCTGATTGAACTTTGAAATTTTGTTTTTGCTTCATTTTATTTTCTTTCTTTCTACTAAGGTACAGGACTGTTTAATCCCTCTGGACTAAACATAGCAACTTTATATAGTATCTTTCAGTCTTATTCTTTGTTTCCATAACTAAATAATAAAAAATTATGGTTTGGTGTTGGTAAGGATGAAGCTGGAAGTTTTGTTAGAAATAGCCTCATGAATTTCTAAGCTTGAAGTACTGACCTGTAGATTTGAGAACAGGCCCTGGCTTTCTAGTGTGAAGACAGAATACCTGAAAACCTTATATCTAGCTCTTAATGATTTTTTTTCAGTTATTTCATTATTATTTAAAAGTTTTTGATTTGGAAATATTAGGCCCACAAGGGCCCAACACTTACATAGTGATAAAGACACAAACTTACTCTCTTGATTATACTAATCCCAGAAGAGAACGAACGTCTAGCTTCTCTTAACTCAGGGCATAGAGGAGTAGCCGAGTTGAGGGAGGCAACCCAGATGTGCAAGGCAGTGGAGAGTCGGGTGTACAGAGCACCGTGGCTAGTTCTAAGAGGCTACACACATCCCTACACACACCCGCCACGAGGGACAGCTGCTGCTCAGGTCTGGATTGCTACTGCCAAGAGGGACTACAAGCCTGCTCTTAATTATGGCTTGTGATAGTTTTTTTTTAATATTTTATTATTTTTATTTTATGTGTATGCGTGTATTGCCTGCATGGAGGTAAGTGTACCTGTGTCATGTAATGCCCATGGAAAACAGAAGTGACTGTCATATTCCCTGGAACGGCAAGTTACAGACAGTTGTTAGCTGCCATGTGGGTGCTGGGATTTGAACCTGGGTCTTCTGCAAGAACAGTCAGTGTTCTTAACTGCTGAACCATTTCTCCAGTCCCGGGTTGTGATAGTTTTTAAAATGGGCCATGAAACAGAATTTTTGTGAAAGTAGATGCTTTAAAAATAATTGAGTTTTCAGGCTAAACGCACTTGGAAGTGGAATACAGCTCTTAGGCTACTGAATTGGATCCTTGGTATAGGCCTTAGGAAACAGTAAAGAGCTGTTATTTGATTTCTACTATTTGTAGAGCTTCAGAAAAAACCCAGGAAGTGATAATGAACTGTGTGTAGACATTACCTGATACATATTTGATTTGTTAAATTAGCTTCACACATATAGTATAACAATGTGAAACCATTCTGTGTTAAATGTTTGATGTTATTTAATGGTGGTTCATGAGTTTAATCCCGGCACTTGAAAGACTGAAGCAGAATTACTCTGAGTTAGTCTTGTCTGATAGTGAGTTCCAGGTGATCCTGAGCTAATGTGAGACCCTATCTCAAAACAAAATGAAGCAAAAAAAAGAGAGAGAGAGAGAAAAATTGAATTTCCAATGGTTCATTATGCATTTCTTAAGTTGGTACTTTTTTTTTTTTTTTTTTTTTTTCCCTTTTATGCATGGTTTACCTAAAGGAGATGCAAAAACTGCCTGAGGCTGTTCAGTTGATTGAGAAGGCTAGCATGATGTACCTGGAGAATGGCACACCTGACACAGCAGCCATGGCCTTGGAACGTGCTGGGAAGTGAGTGCTATAGCTGTTGTGGGAAGCACTGACTTGCAAAGGACTCTGCTTCCTTTTGTGTTGATAAAGTCCTTTGGAAAACAAGTTTTTTGTCTCATGCAAGTCAAATTCTCTTGTCTAATTCAGGCTTATAGAAAACGTGGATCCAGAAAAGGCCGTGCAGTTATACCAACAGACAGCTAATGTGTTTGAGGTAAGTCCCAATTCTGTTCTTTTCTTTTGTCACTTAGAGTATCTATATTCATAATATATTGGAAAATAAAAATACGGTAGATGCTTTCAAGGTTTTTTTGTGCTCACAGCCTGTCTCTTGTTTTTTTTCCTGTTAGAGGTTAGTGGATGGGCTAGCAGCTTTGGTGTCTACCTTCTGTTCCTATTACTTTAGGAACTTTATATGGAAGGGTAAGAAGATGTCCACAGTAATAACCGCCAACACTCCCCTTTCTTTAATTTTTTTCAGAATGAGGAACGCCTCCGGCAGGCAGTTGAGCTACTAGGAAAAGCCTCAAGACTGCTTGTACGAGGACGCAGGTATGGCTTTCTGAACTGTGCCTGTGTATTCATGTGTGCTTTGAATTTACATTTGGGAGTGATAAAAAAAAACTTTGGGTATAACTTATTTATCTTTTTGATATAAACTATAGAGGTACCTGGATACCCAGTGGAAAAATTAACTTCTAGAGAATAGGCACTTTCAGTTAAATACTAAAAGATCTGGTTTTTCTATCATATAATACCAAAATATCATGTATTCTTTTACTGGCTAAGAGCAGTTCTGTGATATGAAAGAAGATTGACCTAGTTTTTTGACTAGTTTATGTTTCTCTTTTGAAGAAAAATAGATATATTGGAGTAAGTAAAAAAATGCCCTAAATAACCATGAAAATTGTCAGCCTCTTAATACTTGAGCTATGTCATTACATAGGGTCTTTATTTTTTTAAACATAGAATCTAAGGTACAAATAGCTGGATACTAGGAAGCTAGACTCCTATCAAACTTTTCCTTAGTTTTTTTACTTTACCTTAGTTTATGTTTAGTAAATAATTTTTATCATTGATAGAAGTCTGTTTGCCAAGTTCTCATTTAATAATATTGAAGATAAGCACCTTTAGCACCTTTAGGAGATTAAAAGTTTGGTCTGGAGACCTTTTTAATTAAAGTTTAAGGACAAGTTTATTAGTTTAAAAGCACCCCCCTCCCCCAGGGAAGTCAGGGTACAAATCTCAGCTGTCCAGAGGAGGAGAATGGAGGAGAGAAGAGAAGGGGAGAAGCTGTGCTATTGAGCTACCAGCATGGAGCTCAGGCATGTGGCAGGCAGAGTAAGGAAGTCCAAGGTGTCAGAACAAGCATACTTAGGTTCTGGCCAACATCTGAAAGAGACAGAAATAAAGGAAATAGTGCACTGACTCAGAAAGGCGAGCACATCCTGCCGAACCTCATTGCTCCTCATCTTCTAGGGACTGTGCTGGGAGGTGAGAATTCTGGGAAGATAAAGTATAATATTTCATTAGAGGAATAATTATTTCTCCTGTCTCTTTAGCATGGTTTAAAGGAGACAAGTATCTTAATTAAAATGTGCTGTAGCTCTCCAGTGACCGTAAAGACCCAAAGTATATTTTGTTGAGGAATTAAAATTGAATGAATCTATCAATTCCTTTCTGAGGCTTAGATTTTTCCTTTAAAAAGACTGCAGATTCTAAAATACAACTCAAACATGTTTAGAAATGCAGACTAAATCAATCTGAGTAACTTTTTTTAAAAAATAAATAACTTACTGAGAATTTCATACATGCATATAAGGTGTTTTGATCAAATCCATGCCCACTCCCTCCCCTCCAACTCCTCCCATATCGCCCCATCACTTTTTTTTTGATAACTTCATGTACTCTTTCTTCTTATTTTTTTTTTAATGGGCTTTTGGCTTAAGAGTAACTTTTCATGTAGCTAAAAGTTCTCATATATTTGTAAGAACTTTCATTGGTTATTTTTTTGTATTATTGGTCTAAATGGAATAAAAGTTTGGTTTTGTTTTTAAATTAGGACTTTTGTATTAAAACATTAAGCAAAATTGCCAGGCTCCCAGCACTCAGGAGGCAGAGGCAGGCAGATCTCTGAGTTCAAGGCCAGCCTGGTCTACATAGCTTCCAGGCTGCAGAGTGATAGAACTTCAGAGGCACGGGAAGTCAGCTTCTGACCCTCAGAAGTGCAAACATGGGTGAGCGTGCACGCATGCACACACAGGAATTACCTGATAGGAAAGTTGAAGTCATCTGTGTTTCATTATAGGTTATGAATAATTTATTAGCTACACTTGAAATAGATGGCTTTATGTGCCAATCGCATGGATTTTTTAGTGATGTTGATCAACTTTCTTGACTTATAAGTTCATTTGAATGTACAATGTTTCTCTTGTCTCTTTTACTACATAGTTAGAAGCATATGGAAATGCTATTTTTATACTAAGGAAATAATTCATATTGAATAATGTGAACTTGAAAGTTAAATATAGGAAAGGCTTCCAATACTGAGATTTCTACTGGAATGAAATAATTGGATTTTATACTCATGGAATGTTCAGATGTAATTTGTTTCCTAAAACAGGAAGAATACAGACCCATGTAAGTTCGCCTTTTATCAGTTTTCTATTTGAATAACAAACTCCATTGATTTAGCTTCTTGAAGCAGCACTCACTGGTTGTCTCATAGGTTCTGTAGGCCAGAAGTTCTGAGGTTAGGTCTCTATTTGGGGTCTCACTAGGCTGAAATCAAGGTGTGGCATAGGGCTACAGGCTCATCTGTGGCATGAGCTCTCTTCTAAGATCCCTGGTTGTTGGCAGAATTATATTGGTGCAGCTGTGTGACACAGATCCCTGTTTGCTGCCTGTTAGTCATAGATCACTGTCAGCATTAGGAGGCCCTTTCACTTCTTAGGCACGTACCCCCAAGGGTGGCTCTGAACATGGCCATTGCTACTGATTCTGACTTCAGGAAGGACCCAGGCACATTCGAGCTCACCTTATAAGGTCAGCCCTATAGACAACCTCTGGTTCAGTCACCTGATAAGTAACCAGTTGCAGGAGTGATGGCCTGTCCTATTCAGAAGTCATGTTATACTTGAGGGGAAGCAATATGGGAGGTTTGTATGAGGGGCAAGAATCTCAAGAGTTGTCGTAGAATTTTGATACCTAACTCAACTTACTCTTCCAAAATTTATGAAGCTCATCTTTGGGAACATAGAATGAATTTCTCTAGTGACTTTTATTTTGTGATGTACTAAGTTGCCAGGGCACAGCCCACAAAAACTCATTTTTCACACATTCGTAAATAGAGATAGTACTGTAAAAACAAGCCACTGTGTATGTATATCTGTATGTGTAAGCATAATTAGCATGCTGAGAAAATGGAGCACATTGGGTATTATTGCTTGTAGTACTCTCTCGTGTGTGTCCTGCCTCTTGCTCTTTTTCCTCCATTGGCTTATATGAATTCCCAAAGCTAAGCCCCTGTTCCCAGGACCTCAGTCTGTTCATGATCATGAGAGGAATGAGTACAGACTACAGATTGACCGTCATGAGTTAGGTACTGGTGGAGGAGTCTTGGAATTCAGAGTATAATAAACTTGTTCAGGGAGATGAAATTTGGTTAGAGTTTGACCTTGGAGCGTTTGGGGAAATAGTTAGTCATCCCTTTCTTTTCCTTCCGCTCTACCATGGGCTAGAATGGGAGGGAAGGAGAAAATGTGAGTGAAGACAGCAAGGAAGCCTGCTGAGGTCAAAGGTACAGAAGGGCTGGTTTAGCTTCGGACCCACTGAGGTAGCAGTAGAGCCTGAGGGTGAGGGTGCGTGGGAGAGTAAGGGAGTGGACTTGGGGCGCCTAAAAGTTCTCTCATTTGGAAGGAAAGGCACCTGGAGTGATGCAATCTAGGGTTGTCTAATACATCTCACAATGTTGTTCCTTGAGTTAGGACCCATTAATGGGTGGTCCTAGCAAAGTTAAAACTCCTTTTGTACTAACTCTTAAGTTCCTTTGCCTGTGGGTTGACTTGATGCCCCAGAGGGGAGCCAGGCATTTGAGAGACACAAGCCTGATGAGCAGAGTGAATGGAAACACTGCTGTGGAGCAGTTGGTGAAATGCCTGTCCTAATTCTAAGGTATAAGAGCCGCACAGAGATGACCTCTGCCGGGAATCTTGCACACTCGCCCTGTTTTACATTTCTTTGTTTTGTCTTTAGGTTTGATGAGGCTGCACTGTCCATTCAGAAAGAAAAAAATATTTATAAGGAAATTGAGAATTATCCAACTTGTTATAAGGTATTCTTTGAAAATGCCTAGTTTCGGCTTTATCTAGATGTATTTTAAAAATTTATTATTTTTATTTTGTGTGTGTGAGCATATTGCTTGCATGTGTGCAAGTGCACCCGTGTAGTGCAGTCAGTGTCTGCAGAGGCTAGAAGAGAACATTGGATCCCCTGGAGCTGGAGTTACAGATGGTTGTTAGCTGCCACTGGGGCTGGGAGTCTAATCTGGGTCCTCTCCAGGAGCAGACAGTTCTTTTAGCTGAGCCATCTCTCCAGCCCCTTTAAATAATTTTTACATTGGTATAAATCCTTAAGTCAAGGGTTCTGTGGCTATTTGTGTGTTTTTATGGAATGGTATTTTATATGCTTCTGTTTCTGATCATGACAGGGAAAGCATTCACAGCCTGTCTTTCTTGATCACAACTAAGCAGACTGAACAAATACAAACAATAGCTACCACAGATTCTGAACAATAAATAAAAACAGGTGGTCTATAGGGCACTAAATGCTTGAGAAGCCACCGACTTAGGAGTGCATTCCCTGGACTTTGTATCTTCTCTGATGACACTGCCCTGAGAGAAGCCCCAGTCGTGGCATTGGGCCCGAGAGGTTGTAATTAAAACCCCCAGAAGAACCCCATAGCTTGAGCTTTTCTTTCTTTTGCGTTTTGCGTTGCTCTAGTCGTGGAGCGTGATGGTGGCTCCAGAGAACTCCTAGTCTCTGGCTGGTGGAACTGGCAAGAGGAGCCAGGAGAGCAAGGAACAAACCCAGAGAGTAGAGAGTGACTGCACTCGTGGAGCAGACCCAAAGCAGGAGTGACTACTTTGAGACTTGAAAGGAGACTGAAATTACTACATCTTGTCACCTAGTCCCTGAAGGGCATATGTATGGGACAGACCCAAAGCTCATCTCTTTCTCCCTATTATTTGGTCCAGGACCCCACCTCAGGGAATGGTGCTGCTCACAGCAGGCAGGTCTTCTCTCAGCCTAATCAAGATGACCTCTCACAAGCATGGCCAGAGGCTAACTAATCTAGAGAATCCCCAGAAAGTGTGCCCAGATACTTGTCTCCTAGGTGATTTTAGCTTAACAAGATCACTAAGACTCAGTGATCTTGAAAATAGATCAGTAAAAGAATATACAAAAAATGATTTTAAAATATTTTTTAGGCTGGGTATGATGACACATTCCTGTAATCCCAGCACTCAGGAGACTGAGGAAGAAGGATTATAAGTTTGAGGCCAGCCTGAGCTGCATAGCAAGGCACAGTTCCCAAAATCAGCACTGAAAAGAAAAAAAAAAAGCAAGAGAAGAAACACCACCAACAAAATACCCTGTGTGAAGAGCTATTTTAAGGTTTTGCCAGTGATGTAGAATTATAGGTCCTCTTTTTAAAAAATATATTTTGTGGGTGTGGGTAGGTGTGTGGGTGTGTGGGTGTACAGCACCTGAGGAGGACAGAAATACCAGATCCCCTGGAGCTGGAGGTACAGGCAGTTAGCTGCTTGACTTGGGTGCTGGAAATTAAACTCAGGTCCTCTGCCAGAGCAGTATGTGCTCTTGACTGCTGAGCCATCTCCAGACCTCTCACCCTCCTTTCTAAAATTCCCTTTACAAGATGAACTGCATATAGGTATTTCAAAGAAAGTCTCTAAAACTTGCACTGGTTACATTCTTAGTCTTTATGGTCAAAATAGTCCTTAGGCCACTAAAGCCAGTATTATCTGGGACTGGTTAGAAATGGCAGAATCTCTGCTGCTCAGCCAGCCTTCAAGCTACCAGAATCCCGAAGTGGCTTGTGCACACATTATTGTTTGAGACACGGGTCCAGGATATTTCCTCCCAGGTATGTGTGGAAGTTACTGTAGAGTTTGTTTCTCATACAGGAACTAATCCTCTAAAAGTTAAATTCCAGTTGCTTTAAATACTCCCAAGAAGTCTCTGTGAAAATAGTTATAAATTTAGAGCATAATCTTCTCTTTTGTTTCAGAAAACAATTGCTCAAGTCTTAGTTCATCTACACAGAAATGATTATGTGGCTGCAGAAAGGTGTGTCAGGGAGAGCTACAGGTAAGATGGGGCTGTCTTGATTGACAGCGCTGACAATTCTATTGACCTTGAATTAAGAGCACTACTTAGACAAATGAGCCATGGAACTTTTACATAAATCTTCCAAGTGATAAGAGTACTGTTTGAGAGTTTTTTGTTGTGTTTTGATTTTATTTTCTTGCAATGCTGGGGATGGAAGCTGGGTACTTACATCCTAAACAAGCCATCTACTACTGAGTGAGGGTCCTGCTCCCATTTCAAGTTTTACAAGTTGCTTTTTTGCTTTTGTTGTTCTCTGAAGGGTCTCAATTGGAGTGAATGATATCAGTTTTTTATATTTGCATTTTAAATGACCACAACAAAAAAGAACAAGAAAAGTTTTTGTATCAAATGTTGCAAATCAAAATGAGGTGTTTCCTTGTGTGGTGCAATTAATGAGTACTGATACTTGAGGCTGGGTGGGTTGTTTGTGGGAGCTGTGCTGTGCACTGCACGGTTGGTGGCATCCCTTCTCTCTACCTGCTGGTTGCCAGTAGCACCCTCAACACCTGTAACAGTCAAAATGCCTGCAGACCTTGTCACACTTGTGCTGGTGACAGTCATCCCTGGTGTAGAAGCCTTTTAAGGAAGAGATGAAGTGTGCCTTTGTGTTTTCCTGTAGCATACCAGGGTTTAATGGCAGTGAAGACTGTGCTGCACTTGAACAGCTCCTTGAAGGGTATGACCAGCAAGACCAAGACCAAGTGTCAGATGTCTGCAACTCGCCCCTTTTCAAATACATGGACAATGATGTAAGTGGGCCTGTTTAACTTTCTTCTTTCCTCTTGAAAGGGAGTTATATTTTTTTTTTCACATGAATTTGAAGGTTTTTCTACCTCTACTTTTCACCTCACACTGTGCTCATAAAGGAACCAACCAATTCCATTGAGTTTTTCTTTGTGTTTAGGTCATATGGACGTCCACCTTATGACTGCACAGTCATCCACTTATTCTCTACCTGCACTGGTCATGTGCCTGTTTTAACATCCCACCTCGTTTCTCAGCTTCTTCTCTCCGCTCTCCTCTGTGTGTTTCTTGGTTTATCAAGTTGCTTTTAGGCTCCTTGTCTGGAAGAGGTCCATCATGTGTAGCAATTCCTTAGGTCTTCAAGAATCCCACTTCTAGTTGTGTGAGTGATGCAGATTATTAAGTAAGCATCTCCAAGCCTGGGATAACTTATCTGTAAACATGAGTGAGTTCTGCTTGGCATCTAGACTGTTGTAAAGAATTCTCCAGTCTGTGTGTGAGAAATAGCCTCACACATTGCATTACAGTTCAATCTCTAGCTCCCTCTCCTTCAGTACATTTATCTGATTGTACAACTTTAGAGTCTTGTCGCAGTGTCAAATTCATTTAAGACTTGTAGTTTTCTTATAATGCTATCAGTAGAGAATCGTTTTTTGTTTCATTCTAGATAAATTATTATATATGCTTTATTTTTTCTTTATGAGAAAAAGCAAAGTAGTGCTGCTGTATGTGGCACTACTTGGCCTTCAATTTATGGTCCTCCTGCCTCAGCACCCCTAGTGCTGGAATTACAAGTGTGCACCAGTACTCCAAGCTCTTTATATGCTTTTAAAAATGTATTCCTGTGTGTATATATGTATATGAGTATGTGTGTATATATATATGGGGTATCTTCCTCATTTGTTTTCCACCTTATGCTTTGAGATAGTCTCTCTCTGAACCTGATACTCACTGATATGGGTAGACTGGCTGACCAACAAGCCCCAGGAACCCATCCTGTCTCTGCCTCCCCAGTACTGGGATTACAGTTGTGTGCCACTACACCCAGCTTTTGTGTGGGTGCCGGGAATCCAGCTCAGGTATTTATACTTACACTTTACCAATTGAGCCACCTCCCCAGCTCCATGCTCCTCTATTTTTCATGTGGGTTCTGGGGATCAAACTCAGGTCCTCATGCTTGCAAAGATGCGTATTTATTAACTGAGTTGTCTTCTTAGCCTTCAAACTTGTATACATTTAAAAAAAATTGTCCATAGCTTACTTCTCATTTACTCAGTAGACCTTTTCTTCATGCCTTCTAGAAGTATTATTGAGTATATTGAGTTATCTCAAATTCCCAAATTAGGTTTATAATTGATATTTTCACAGCTGTCAACATGTCACATCATGGTTACGAGGCATCTGATGCCAGGGTGTCTCTAGTTAAGTGATATTATAAGGATGGAGGGTTAGGCTCTGGTTTGTTTTTAAAAATGTTTATTTACTATTGTGTATGTGCACATGTGGAAGTCAGAGGACAACTTTGTGGAGTTGATTCTCCTTCCACCTTTACGTGGGCTCTGGGCATTGAACTCAGGTTTTCAAGCTTACATGGCAAGCACCTTCTTCACTGAGCCATCTCACTAGCCTGGCTCTTTTTTATAATGAACTGTTGTTTAGATACTGTATGTCAGAATTGTAGTTTTCCAGCTTTAAGAACCTGTTTTATTGTTGACAGTATGCTAAGCTGGGCCTAAGCTTGGTGGTCCCAGGAGGGGGAATCAAGAAGAAGTCACCAGCTACACCCCAGGCCAAGCCTGATGGCACCACCAGTACAGCTGCTGAGGAGGAGGAAGACGAGTATTCAGGAGGCCTGTGCTAGTACTCTGCTTACAGAGAGCTAAGAAGAGACAAGGAAAACCCTGGCATGCCACTTTCATGGAATTGGGACTCATTTTGGGGTATCTCCTCCACTGAGGTTATGGTGTTGAATGCTAATGTATGGAAGTCTTTGACTTCCACCATTTCCCCAAATCAGCCATTACATCTTATACCACCATTTCCCCCTTTCTATTCTAAGAGGAGAAATTAGCAGAAAATACACTGTCACATTTTAATAGTTGATTAAAAAACTTACAGGCCTAATTCTGAACAAATTATATGCTAAACGAAGCAGGCAGTAGGCATAGTTATTCTCTCTTAGGTTCTTGGACTTTATTGTTAAGATAATTTTCACTGCATTTTATTTAAGATTACTGCTGCTACAAGTGACTGCTTGGTAAAAAATAATTCTTTAAAAAACTTGTCTAGTTCTCTGCACCGTTTTTCCAGTTGTCATATGGTACAGTGTCCTAGCTGAGGCTCTCAGGAGCATCAGTAAGGCTGAAAAGAGGGGCAGATGCCAGGTCCTTGTCAGACTGCACTCCACAGCCATCATCCAGTTTCTAAAACTCTGGTGATGCTGCGTGGTTACACCTTACACAGGGACTTTGGAATCATTGATCACAGCTGGGAAAATTGTTGTCAGTCTCATAGTCAGGTTAAATGAGTGTGGAGTGTTGGCCCCAGATATGATATACAACTTAAAGACCTAAGAAAATTGCAGAATAATCTGCTCCTAGTCTGTCAGATTGTTCCATTCATTGTACTGACAGTCTCAGCCTGTATCATGGCTGTGAAGTAGGGTGAAAATTCAGGAAGGAAAACCCTTGGATTCTTTTTCTAGGATCATAAAACATGTATAAATAAAACGCTTCAGTGGAGAGGGAACTTGTCTAGTTTTGAAAAAGAAATTTATCTACCATGATATTAGGTACATTTAATTATTGACTCTTTTAAGAGATGAGATTGAAACAGAAGCTGTTTTGAACTTTATATTATTTAGCCCCCCAAAAGATGCATTTAAATTTTAATGTGTGACTTTACAAATGTTGAGAGTAGAGTATGATAATGGTTCTATAAATGCCTTCAGTCCTCTCTGAAGTACTGGCATTTCTTCAGTCTTAAATAGTGACTGTCCAAACCTGCTTGGCTCATGACCAAAGCGGGAGCTGCTTGAAGCCAGTTCCATGAGTTAGATTGACAGGTGGCCTTCCTGCCAGGCTGGCTCCTATCTAACTTATCAGGATGGTGGCATACTACCAAAACTAGCTGAAAGGGAAGAATTGGTTTTGAAAGACTACTAAGACTGGGTGGCCAATCTTCTCATACTTCACAGACTTCCAAAGTGACAGTTTTGAAGCATTCCTCTTTTTGCCCCATGTGACTTAACTTCCATCCCATAATTTGTGAATTAGAAGAGGCTGCAAGTCACAGCAGGGTGCACTCTGCAGGCTCTGCTGACAAGAGTGGTCTCCTGTCACCGTGCCCCTCCCGTCTCTTTACAACATACTTTATTTGAAGCTAGTCTGCTTTGTTTTTCTAGATTTCTCCAAATCTAGGGAGAGCATCATGACACTGGTCCCAGTTCTGTGGGAGGGCTTAGGTAGAACAGCTTCCTTTGCCAGGTATGCTTTAGTGGTGGATGGTACTGTACAATTTCCATTATGGCCTGAGGCCAAACACTAAAGAACTTTATGTTTTCCCTTACCTGCATAGTTCTGCAGATAACCACCTCAGTTTCTGTAATTGCATTGAGACTAAGGATAAAGCTGTGTTTAGGCATTTTTATTTAAAGAAAAATTGGTGTTCCAAACATTGCATCATTGCTGCCTAGATCCAACCAGAAACTTCTGGGGTCTCATATTAGTGCTTATTTGAGCTAATTAACAATCTTTGAAACAGATTTGACGGTACTCAAAAGTTATTTTAAACCATTTTATAGACCATGTTATTCAATATAACCTTGTGTAGGGGTTAATTTTGTTCCTCTTACATGATCCCTGCAATCTGGAGCAGAATTAGCCTCAATTTTAAACAAAAAAAGGGGCTTTACACAGTTGCATGCTCTCTTGGCCACCTTTAAGAATGCAGAAACAAGGTTTCAGCTGATCTTCATGTCAGGGTTATTCTGTTTGGTATCTCATAGGAACATCTGTTCTACGTGTATACATTTTATTTTTCTACTTGCATAAATCTTTGCTCTTGAGAACTTGGTCAGAAGTGGAGAACTTAGTGTTTACACCAAGAAAATGATTTTCCAGAATTCTCGTGCCCTCCCTAGCAAAATGGAAGCCTGCATGAATCTGCTCAGAATTTTTGTGCTCCATTGCCCTACTGCCTAGTAACTGAAGTTGGTCTACAGAGCACATTTAATGTATTGAATTTGTACATATGCAGAGTATGGTATTTGTGTATGGAATCTCTGTTTGATCCTATTTTTTTCCAGCTCTTTGATGAGTAAAATATTAAATATGTTGTTATGGAAATGTATATGATTGCTTCTCAAGGAAGATAATTATGAAAATAAAACCTGAAACTATATAAATGTGTTAACATTTTTATTTTGATTTGCTTGTTCATTTTCTTTTCTACTCTATAGAAGTCAGGTGCCTTTGGGGAGTATTTGGCTGTATAACATCCTCCCTCAGCCTGAGCAGACATTGGTAATATAATTTAATATTTAAATTTAGGATAAACTGTAGTTTAAAAAAATCCAGAGAGACTCTTGGATACAGTGTGATTTTTGTTTCTTTCTCGGTGGTGTATTCTGACCTATGTTGTTAGCAAGGCATTGGTAGTCCCATGAGGTGGCTGAAAGGTAACAGGTAGCCAGTGTTCTCGTGTGGCTTGTACAAGGCCCAGTATGGACTCTTGATGTGATGAATTAAGCTTAAATATATTAAAAATATCATGAAAAAAAAAAGAGGCAAGCATTGATTTTGAATATGGAAAGCAAGTCTTTGTGTGCGCGCGCGTGAGTGTACACACACACATATGTAACTGCTAGGAGACTTTTGTGCATTGAAAGAATTTACATGGTTTCTAATTAATATTCCATGGTACTAGAATTCTTTAGTTCTAAGTAAAAAATTAGTTAAATTTCCATGAAGTTTAAGACTTGAGCATTTCATATCTTATTCTCAAATCTCTCAGTGGGCCTAATTTGTGTAGTCTTAAAACTTAAGTTTCACAATCAGTGTAAACACTTGAGTAACGCCTGTGAAGATAACAAATCCAACTATAGTAATTGAGCTTTCAAGTTTTCAAAACCTGAGCTTATATTCCCAATCACATTTAGAATGAAAACCAAAAGGTTACTATGTCAGGTTTGTTAACTGTTTGACGAACCTTAAATATAAACAAGCACAGATTACCATAAGGGTTATAAAGCTTATTCCTGAAATTAGAAAGGATCAACATTAGCACTAAAGTTGACTCACTCTATCAAATTGAAATGCTTATTTCTGTACCCATTTTGGGTAAGTCATTGAATTCAGCAACAGAAAGAAAGTGAACACATCATCTTAGGAAGTTTTGAATGCTGTTGGGAACATAGTAGTCAGAGATGAATGTGTGGGCCCTGCTGCTGCAGGCCGACTATGTCTCGTCATGGGGGCACACAGCCTTTGCTCACTTGTATTCTTATGCCGTGTCAGTGGAGAACACAGTCCCCACGTTTGGGCTTGAACTCTGTTAACTATAAAAGAAGTAAAGCAGTGGTCCAGAAAGGAAACAGGTACTTCTTTCCTGAATGAGGTTTATTAGAATGGATGGGCCTTTAGGTGGGAAGGAGATCATTAGACAGAAATACAATATATGGTGATCTAAACATGGTGGTGCCTTAAGGGGAAGGAGGTTTCCCTTTAAAACCTGCAGAGGAGCTTCCTTAAAAGTGAGAATGAAAGAAGAAAGTGATGGGCATCATGAGAGGGATGGCTGGGGAGGAGGGGCTTGGGGAGGCCAGAGGAGCCTCTGTCCAGAGATCAGCCTTCAGAGTGTCTCGAGGAGGCTCTGGACCAACCCCAGAACAAAGGAAAGGATGTTTTATATCACATGATTTAGTTCAACACAGCATACATGACAAAGAGCAGAGGATGCCAGGACTGCTTAGGGCCATCTTGGAAACTGCTGTTACGCCACAGCAGACTGCTTCTTCACTCTCTATCCCAGAAAGAGCTGCAGGGGAGGCCTGGCCTATCTCTTCAGGATGTGAGATTTGGCCTTTTAAAAGTAAACACCGGGGCTGGAGAGATGGCTCAGCAGTTAAGAGCACTGACTGCTCTTGCAGAGGACCCGGGCTCGATTCCCAGCACCCACATGGAGGCTAACAACCGTCCTTAACTCTAGTTCCAGGGGAATCCAAAGCCCTCTTCTGACCTCCGCAGCAGTGCACAACACGGATGCACTCACATAAATGCAGACAATACACTTGTACACATAAAAATAATAAAAATAAAAAAAACCCACCTTTTCTTACTTTGGGGGGCAGGCCCTATTCTAACAGATTTTAGTTTTGCAATGCAGTGGACCATGGTATATTAATATCTTCTCCCTTAGGTTTTTTTATAATCTATGTTTTGTAGTTAAAAGTCAGAACAAGATTTTGTACCTACAAAGCTGAAGTTAATCTGTATGTTTATTACCTAGTTGGCTTCTGCATCTGTTCATTTTTCATAGATTTTTAGGACATAATTTAGTAGTCATTAGTAGACACATAATCCAGTAGACACTGTATTGATCAATTTAATAAAAAACAACTGCCCCTGCAGACAGTATGGTGGTCACATTTTATGAAGGCAGGGCCTCATCAAAAATTTACTGACCAGGAAGGGTCATGCTATGCTGTAGTAATAACTCTCAACTGTGATTTCAAATGGCCAAGATTCATATTCACTCATGTCACATGCTCACCACAGGTCGCCTGAAGGTTCTGCTCTCAGGGCAGAGGGGACAAGGGGGCACTGTGGCCAAGGGGATGGGAACCTGAGTGCATCTCATGCCAGCAGTAAGCCTACCCTCAGAGTGAGGTGCCTGAACTGCATCGATCACCTGGTCATGAAGGACTAGTGCGCAGAGGCTGTGAGTGTGAGAGGAGGGCCAGGACTGTAAGGACTACATACTAGTGTATTGAAGCATTTGTGAACAATTTTTTTAAGTTAATTTTTCTAATGTGATATGGCACCCTTTTGACATAGCTATGCCATGTTAAAGTTTAGGCTGACTCTAGTCTCTGAAATTATCAGGCATTTGGCCCAGGGTGTGGGAACACATGTCAGCAGGACCCCAGTTGTGTTGGGAACAGGTCAGCATGTTCCAGAGTATATCTGCTAAGTGCAGATTTATGGCTTCTGTAGGTTATGCTTGACTTGGTTCTGCAAAATAGTAATTGTTAATAGAATAGAAATTGTGAAGGGGGCTTTGCACCTGTAACTTAAACTTTTCACCACTGCTTATGGTTTCTCTGTATAAAATCTTACCCTAGAGATGACTTGGGGCTATACCCTTGGTTTCCAACACCCTTGTGTAATCGGTGGCCAGCAAAGACTTTGATTTGGCAAAACTTTGTTTGAGTGGTCATCTCTGGTGAAATACCTCACAACACTAATCCTCACAGGATTTTACTGCAACACAGTGATTTCACACACCCTCCTGTTGTCTCCTGACAGTCATTATGTTATCCCCATTTTAAGCGACTAAACAAATTCAGAGGAATCAATGTTCTCTTAGTGTTTTTTGTGTTAATGTAGAAATATAGCAGGAACCCTGAAGGCTTAGTTTTTCTTGGGGGAGTCCGTTATGAGAGATTCACTTGGCAACATGGACCAGGGGGGTTAAAGAAGAAAGCTCACTTGGGAGAGATTTCAGGCTGTGATTCATAGGTAAGTTTACACATTTGCTGGCTTTTGTTTTACATATGTATACCTCTTGTCCCCTGCTCTGATTCTTCCTTTGCTTAAATTTAAAGCTCCTGTAAGTGCCCTGAAGATGAACTTGGGGTTCTTGGACCCCTTTATGTTCCTCTTCTCAATGTTTACCTTGATTAAATCTTTTTGTCCACCCCCTCCCCCATTTACTTGTATCTTTATTGGTGTGTTTGTATGGATGGCTGAACTTAGTCCTTTGGGGCTCCTGGAGCCAAGGCTTTGCCCTCAAATTCTGGTAAGTAATTTCTACATGGTAACATTGCCTGGGCTGGCTTCTGGTTTTCTGCCATCTATTTGAGCTGAGAAAGTTCATTAGAACAAGTAGGAATGTGAGTTATTAAGAACAGGAGATGTGTATGTCCCCAGAGATGTGATTATTCCCCAGTCAGGGCCTGTGGACTGTGGTCTTTCCCTCTCTGGGATTTTTATCTGGATCCTCTGGTGCCCTGGGCCTTTGGAGGCAGACATCTGCCTGCCTTAGACCACACCAGTGCCCTGAACCTGTGGGAGAAGTGGGTTTATGACCAGTAGCTCCCTCCTTTCCTTTTGGAAACTGACCTTCCTTTCATGGGTGGTGGGGTCCTAGCAGTCATGCTTAAAGTGCCTGTCCCTCTAGGTCACAAGTCACAGCTGCGTGGTCCCTGTAGGCTTCTGTCTATCTGAGCAAATGGAGGTTCCCCATAAGAGTATGGAATTTGTTTATCATATTGAGCCCTGAGCACCCTTAAAAGAAGGAGCTTAAGCTTGGCATTGGGTAGAAAGTGTAGCAAAGCTCCAGAGAGTCCACACTTCTTCAGCCTCTAGTTACTGGCAAGTGTCAGCCTTAAGGGTGCCTCTCTGACCCTGGGTTTCTGTAAAGTGCCCTTGAGCCCGAGACTCATTCCCTGCATTCATTTGTATGATATCTCTCCTCTTGGGCACATTCTAGTGTCTCCTCTGCCCTGTCCCATATAATTGCTCATTGATCCAGAAGCTGGACCTCTCTCTGTCTCTCTCTCTGTCTCTCTCTCTCTATCTCTCTCTGTCTCTGTCTCTGTCTCTCTCGTGTCCTCAGATTCCTTTCATCTTTGCATTGCATGTTATTCTTGAAGGTCACTGATGTTAAAGAGATGATTTACCTGTAGGTATTTCCAGGAAGGGCTGCCAGCCTGTAGGAGGCAAGATGTTCCCATTGCTCCATCCCCTACTGTTCTGTGACCTTGACTCAGAACTACAGAACATCCCTCCCTGCCTCCTCCTACCAGCTATGCAGGAATAGGTTCATGCAGGTTCAAGTGGGGAAGCCAGTCACCCTCACTCTGAAGAGCAGGTGGAGCAGGAAATGCAGCTGTGGCCGCTTGGACAAATATGC